GCGTCGGGCCGTCCTTAATTGATCAGAAAATTCCACATTTTTATTTCCTCATCGCATTGAGCGGTATCGGACGGAGGCGCGGCGAAGGTTGCGGCTTCTCCGTGGAGCGATAAGTGTGGTCGAGTTGGCGTTTCGTCGAGGCTCGGCTTCGAGCAGGACTCAAGGTCCTTTTTGCAGACCCCGAAGGGTATCCTTGAGGTTTCAAGGACGACTTCTCGTTTCGTCACTTGCTGGTCTTGAGAAATTAGGCCGAGCTAAGCCGAAAAGTCTTTACGTCCACGTTATCGATGGTCAAATGCAATTATTTCGCATCGGAAATGCTCCTCTCGTGTTCACAGGTGGTCTGGAATCCTTCCGGCGAGACATTCTTAATTGATCAGAAAATTCCTGACTTTTTACCTAGACCCGCGATTTCGTTTTCACCGCATATTTCGTTAATAACCGTGGCCAAGTTGGCGTTACGTCGAGACTCGGCTTCGCGCAGGGCTCAAGGTCCTTTTTGCAGACTCCGATCGGCATCCTTGAGGTTCCAAGGACGACTCCTCGCTTCGTCATTCGCTGGTCTTGAGAAATTAGGCCGAGCTACGTCGAAGAGTCTTCACAAGTCCACGCTATCGATGTTCAAATGCAGTTATTCCGTATCGAATATGCTAGTCCTACGTGCAAATTCTACGTGCAAATTTGGCATTGCAATTCTACATAAAGGATCGAATCCTGGAATTATTTTTTCCTTCGGAAATGTTTCCCTCTTGTTTTCGTCGCATACAGGGGATACCCATTCGACGCTCGAGGGTAAAATCCGATATTCGGGTACGGGAGCGAGACCAAAACCCCACGTAATTCTACGTGCAAATTTGGCATTTCATTTCTGCTCAAAGTATCGAATCCTCGAATTATTTTTTTTTTCCTCCTTTCGTGTTACTTGGTACCGGTCGGGGGCGTTGCGAAGGTTGCAGCGTCTCCACGGAGCGAAAAGTGTAGTCGAGTCTCGGAGGGCTCAGGGTCTTTTCTACGTACTCGAGATCGACGTCCTTGGGATTCCAAGGACGACGCCTCGGCTCGTCACTCGACTCGTCTCGACGAATTGGGTCGAGCTCCACGGCGCTGTGCAGTCTTGTAATCTACGATATCACCCGCTAAATGCAATTATTCTCCCGTCCCGGCGGATCGTTTCGTCGCGCCGGGAGATTCCTTGTTCTCCTCTGTGCCTCTCGAATTCACTCTACAAGTAGGTCTCGTACACCTTAATAACCATCGGCACTAGTCTTATTGTCATTTCACGCGATGGAAAAATTGCATCATGTCCATTCCTTAAAATTCCTTCCCAGCTAATAATCGCTCCGGAATTTAATTTAGGGGTGAGTCTTATCTGGTTCGCGAAAGAAGCATGGTATATCTCCCTCTCTCTCCCTCTCTCGTCGGTCATAAGCGAGCATCTCGCGTAACGACTTGACGTCAAACAACGAGGTTCGCCTCGGCCTCGTGGGAGGTTCGACGTCCAGTCTTCGCACCCGAGATCGGCGTCCTTGGCTGTCAGGGACGCCGGCCGTCCTTACGGCGACTACTCGCTCGTTCCGTCGAATTGGGTCGCGCCACGGCGCGACTCTTTCTCTCCCTCTCTTTCTCTCTCGCGTAACCGACGATGTCAATAATAATAGCGCCGACTTCGACCGCGGAGAGGTTTCCTTCTTCACCTTTGTCCCCGCCTTCTGGCTTCCCGTTCTCCGCCGCGGCGAGGAGTCCGCGAGGGCGTCGCGACGTCCGGCGAGTCCTACCGAGGACGGGAAAATTCCTGCCGGCGACCTTCCTCGTCGAGGCCCCTCGCTTATAAACACTTTTGGGATGCCATGGGATAACGAATCTTCTTATTGCAGATTTTAAGGCAATTAACGCGAGGGAAAGACAATTTTCAAGCGATTTTTAACACATCGGCTGCTACCATGTATGCATGATTTCGTTAGTCTACGGCCCCTCCCTGATGAACACTTTTGGGATGCCATGGGATAACGAATCTTCCTATTGCAGATTTCAAGGCGATTAACGCGAGGGAAAGACAATTTTCAAACGATTTTTAACACATCGGCTGCTGTCATGTATGCGTGATTTCGTTAGCCTATGGCCCCTCGCTGATAAACACTTTTGGGATGCCATGGGATAACGAATCTTCCTATTGCAGATTTCAAGGCGATTAACGCGAGGGAATGATAATTTTCAAACGATTTTTAACACATCGGAAATCGGCTTTTGGAACTGGCGCAGAGCAGGGTCGACGTATATTCGACGTCGAGCCACGTCGCGTCGACGTTCGCTTTCGCGAAGTAGGACGTGTCGAGGCAAGGTCCCCTGCCTTCCTCGACGACTTAACCTAACCTAACCTAACTTAACGAGAGCACACCCCCTCTCCGCCCCGCGGCCCGGCCGAGCAACCCCGACAATGCGTTATCGATATATCACCGATGTGCGACCGATATATATATATATATATATATCGTGAATATATTACACATACACTTGCCACTTTGGAATATAAAAAAGATGAACCTTTGAAGGTCCCCGTGACCGTTGACCTCGTCGATTCGCTTCACCTCGATGACGGCAAACGGCGTCTCCGAGACGCGCTAACCTCGACCTGGAGGTCTTTCCGCAACCTCGTGGACCGAAACTCTCTTAACATTTAATACATATGCTCGGTGTTTACGACCCGTTCCGAAGGCCTAAAAGGGAGGGAGAGTGGAACGTAGCGAAGAATGCCACGAAGGGAACGAATAACGCAACGTCGATATCAAAAGACCAATCGATTCTAGTATTACATTTTAATTAACGAGGAGTAATCTCAGCTAGATCTTGTATCATCTCCTAGGACAGGGCCCGCAACATGGCGGCGTTGGAGGCGGTTAGCGCGGTTTTCTTGACCCAAGATGGCGCCACGGTCGAGTGACGCGAAGGCCGCTCTAGAAGTCCCCGGTTCGATGGTCGACGGTTCACCCCGAGCATGGCGGGGGATTCGAGTCTCCGGCGAATCCGCGCCGAATCTTCTACCGATATCTCCTCCTTTTGAAACCTTCGAAAGCGACCTTGGATCTCACCTTTGCCTTCCCCGGAGGTGAAGAGGGAAATCTCTCGCGGATTTAAAGGTCCCGCCGGTTGTGCCGCACCGGCGGATAAGTGCAGTGAACGCGGCGGGCGGGTGCACTGAACTCGTCCTCCCTGCCTCCTTCTCTCTCGCGCGCGCGCTCCCTTCTAGAGGCGCTCGCGTCTCCCTCTCGCTCTTACCTAGGCTACCTAGGCGTGGCGGCATCCTCCTTCTCGGTCTGCGCTGTTGGTATCAGGCGCGCTTCCGAGCCAGCTTGGAGCACATAGGAGGCGTGCAGTTAGTTAACCCCACTGCGGTCACCTTCTATTCTCGAGCTCCGTGCATCGGGCCGCCGGCATTTCGCCGTTTCCTCTCCGTAGTGGCCGTCGCGGACGTCGCCGATCCTCCCCGTAGTCGCGTTTCTACGAATACCTCCGGGTTCGTCCACGTATTCTTACATATATATCTCTGGTTTACCCGTTTATTCCCCGTGAACGAAGATCGGAACCGCGTCTCGCCGGATGCCCGGAACCGGCGGTGGCCGCCATCTTGGTCTCGCTCCCGATTGGTCGGTTCGAGAAGGTGTCGCCCCCTTTCCCCCCGCGGCGGCGGCGCCCTCGGGGATCCGGGGCGAATAGTCGCTGCTCGCGAGCGAATAGTCACCGACGGCCGCCGCTAGGGAAGTAGGTCGCCTGTCGCGAACAGATTCGACCAGTGAGACCGGCGCGTTGGTGCGCGATCGATGAGCCTGTGATTTCCCGCTGAGGATGGAGCTTCGCCGGATCGGCACTGATGTAAGCGGAAATGCGGGCATGTATGTGTATCGTATATGCGTGGCTGTGTATGGAGACCCGCGCGGAGGTATTGGTGAGGGAAAGCTCGCCGATTGGACGGTAGATCGAGTTCCTGGTACCTCGCGGAGGAGGTGGTCGACTCGGCTGCAAGAAGTATCAGGCGCCGGGGGAATGATTTCGTGGTGATGCTTTTTATCGGCGCGAATAGCCGATTTGTGTATGCGCGCGCGTACATGATGTACATATATATACACATATAAATATATACAACATATGTATGTATGTTTCTAGGTAGTGGATTGTGTCAAGAATCGATGCAATTTCGCCTTCGATGGTAAAATAGAGTCGTCGAACTCATTTAGATCGCGGATATTCGCGGGCTGCATGCGGAAGCGGAAAGCGACGTCGGCCGCCATCTTTCTTTTGTTCTTGATAATCGGTGGAGAGAAGAGGCGGCGGTTCCGAGAATGAGACCCTCCCAAAGGGGGACCATCTTCTTTTGCCAGTGATATCTGACTCCTGATAGTTTTCTCCTTTTGGGGAGGTATCCGTGTTAAGAATGAGCCGTCTGATGAAGGTCATTAGCAGAGGTACTTGTATCCTGATAATTTGCCCCTTTCTAGGAGGTATTCGGGTTAAGGGTTGACTACGTGTCGAAGAGGTCACTGACATCGATTTACGCCTCCCGATAGTTATGTCCTCTCGAGGAGGTAGCTGTATTATAGCTTAATTATTCGGGTTGCGTCAGAAATAATGGCAGTCTCCTGATACGTTTTTACCTCTTCAAGAGGTACCCGCGTTAATAGTTGGTTATAGTAAAATATACGGTAGCCAGCGTCTTCTCGTAGACCTTTTTGAAAAGTGGTATCCAAGGTCAGGGATCGTTTCGCCCTGTTCGTTAACGACCTTCTGACGACCTAGACGAAGGTTACGCAAGAAGTGCCTCCTAAATTACCGAATTTATAGAAATTGCGGTATGGCGCATTATTCCGTGACACTGTCATCCGAGATTGACCCTTATCGGAGGGATTATCTCGGAATAAACGTTCTTGAGATTTCGCATTTAGAGCTAACTCTGTACTTCGTTCACCGCATGGAATCGCTTATCTAACCGTGCCTTCCTTGGTTTTCAGCTTGAACAAGATGCATGCGATGGACAACGTCGTGGGGAACGGTAAGAGGGTCGAAGCGACCGAGAAGAAGGAGGAACCGACCCAGATCTCGCCGAAGATTCCCCAAAGCCAGCAGAACGGAGCAGCTCTTCCGGAAGAGACCGCGGCCGCAGCTGCAACGGACCACGTGCGTCCTACCACGGTCAAGAAAGAGCCATTCTCGGAGCACGAGGACGACCAAAAGCCGAGTTTCAGGTTCTCCGGGGAGACCGATGCAGCCCCCACCAGGAAACGGAGGTCTCCGGAGGAGACCTCTTCGACCAACGGGAAACCTGCGAGTAAACGGGTCTGCTTCGAGCAGAGGGAACAGTTCATCTCGTCGTTGGTGGGTTGCGACAAGGTCACCGCCGAGGAACTCGCAGCCAGGGCCGAGCAACTCCGCATCGAGGTGCAGGTGCGTTTAGGCGAGGGTGCACTTGATTTAGGTCGTTGCATAATGCGTATATTTATATAATATCAATTTGTTTCCCCCAAGGCGCTGGACGAGCTCGCGCGAGCCAAGGAGATGGAGTGGAACGAGATCCTTAGCATGAGGAAGCTGAAGGAGGAGGCCTACTTGAGGATCGAGAGGAAGAGGCAGGTCGTGGGCTTCATGGAGGGCAACGGCCAACTCGCGGAAACGTTGCCGCCGTCTAGTATGACCCTAGCGGCCGAATGGGAAGCTGGCAATACTGCCGGGAACAAGGAAAGGTGCGATTACGGCTCTCAGGGCTCCCAGGAAGACGGCTCCCACGATGACTCGCCCTTGAAGAAAGAAAAGTCGAGCAAGGGGCAGTCCCATCGACGAACCTCCTCTCCGAAACAATGCGAGAATGGACGCAAACAGGTCATGGATCCGCAGAATCTGGAGAACAGACCGATAGGCGAGGGCCGACAGGGTCCCATCGTGGATGTCAGATCCATCATCGCCGATTACAGGCTGCGACATCCCGAGACCGTCCCCAGAAGGTACGGTTCGCCGTCAACCAGAAGAATTTGACGTTCGTCATTCAAATTTGATGTTGTCGGCCAGCACGTTATTGCGGTCATCACGGTCGATGGTATTTCATTAATTATCTCAAATCCGGTGTTACCATGGCGACACTTTTAGGGGCCGCAGGATGAGGAACTCCGTGAACGTTGGACTTGGAGCTGGTGGAGCAATGGTAGAGACTGGACACACCGTGGACTCCAGGCCTTCTAGCACCGACTCTTGCAAGAGCAACTCCAATGCCACCGATCCTAATAATTCCATGAGCTTCAAGGACGTGCTCGTGCAGTTCGCCAAGCTGAGCCAGCAGCAAGGTGATTGACGCTCGAAAATATATTCCTCGGTTTCTGGCAAACTCTTTAAATAATTTATAATTTCTCGTGGTTTTATCGAGTACTAATTTTGTTCACCTTCAAGGGGAGCCGTTGAAGACGCCGCAGAACTACCCGGACGTAACGCTTCATCCGGTGGCCCCGTCTCCGGTTCCTCAGAGCCCAGCGCCTCAGCAGACTGGCTCGCTGCTACACGGGATCCTTACCAAATCCCAATCTCCAAGGCCGGCGACTTTCTCGCCAACCTTGGCGAGGTTGTTGACGGCTCCCGAGCGGGAGAGAAATGCTCCCGTCACGGCTTCGGCCCCGCAGCAGAACACGACCCAGCACCTTCTCCAAGCGTATCAGGGGTCCAATCCCGTTTCCATAAGCGATCTTCTGTCGTCGTCGAAGGTACGCCACTTTTATATACATACAAAATATATTACCCCTCATTGAACTTGCCGATTCCCTTTAAGCACCTCTGAATAATTAACTAAGATTCTAAAATTCTATTTTCCAGGCACGAACCGAAATAACTATCACGCCGGTCGTTAACACCCCGGTCCAGTCTCACTCCAACAACCTCATTCACGTGGTACGACAATCTCCTTTTTTCTAAACCCTTGTATCGCACTATAGGTTGTGTCATTTGATTAGCTACTCGGTGTCGAGCCCATAGAGCGGTACAAGGGTGTACAACTCCCGTCTCGTAGTGTTTCTTTGTGTTATTGCTAATTTTAGTTTGTTCAGGATGACGTGGAAGAGGAAACGTCGGTCATCGAGGAGAGGGACACGCGGATATCCTCAGGAAGCAGAGACGGCAGAGAAGGTCGCGAGAGCCCACCACGTTGTCAGGGCTGCCACGAGCGCGCTGCACAGTTCGTCTGTGCTGGTTGTGGCAACCAGTGGTATTGCAGCCGAGAATGCCAGGTATGCAAATCTAACGAGATCTCATGACAAAGTATCGTTTCGCGAGACGATCTAATTTTTGCAAAGAGTAAAGGCCCATCACGGGAGATTAAATCTTGACTTTCTCTTCAGGTTTCCGCCTGGGATGAACACTCGGAAGTCTGCTCGGGTTAAACGGGGAACGAAGCTTCGTCGTCGTTTTACCTACGACCGTCAGTGGACTTCCGAGAGCGAAGTCGGCGCATTGCAAATGAATCTAGTCAAGAAAAAACGCCAAGAAGAAGAGAGGACTATGGAGCGGTAAACAAAGAAGGGGACAAAATATGTCAGATGTAGAAGAGAAGAGCGTTGTATATTTTTAAGGACCCTTCTCTCAGATATATGTATGAATATATATGTATATATACATGTGCGTATGCGTACATATATATATTTATATATATATCGCGTGGCCCGTATAAAGGAGGGAAAGAGTAGCTGTGCGTTTCCACTTTAAAAACGAGATCTACTGCCAAGGATCGTTAGTTCTGCTTGCTTAAGAACCTTGAAAGACTTTATATTGAAATAAGGAATTCGGGCGAGTTAGATGGAGCTGATCTCAGTGCTGGGTATAGTCTACCGTTAAAAATTGAAAACACGGGAGGTTTTACAGAATTGTCGGTTATGTGTGCGAATTAAGTTTCGCGATTTTCTATTTTCAGTATAAGACCCTGAAATAGCTGTGTTCTAAGTACAGTGACATATCTATTTAATGTAGTTATATTTCATGGTGGCGACCGGAAATCATTTTTTGAAAATATAAAATTTAGCAAAAATATATGTGACGATACATCGCTTTGGATATGAATTACACGTTTCGGGTTGGCGTATGAAGTATAACTATTCCATTTTGTAATTTCGATTGTTTCTTTTTCTTTATGTAAATCGCTCATTTGATATATGTTTTTCGCTTTAATTAAAGGCGTTTAAAATAGCTCAAAGGATTCCGGAGATAATAATGCCCAGCACTGGTTAGAGTGCCTCTAGAGAGAATTTAAAGTAAGCGGTACATCAATTTAAATCGTTAAGTGTTGTCCCATTGCAAATCGATGATAATGTCATTAAATTATTTTTAAGAAAAGTAGACTTGTGACAACGGGATAGCGGTCCAAGTACTTTGTGGATTCTGAGATTATTTTGCACCTAATATACTTACGTTAAGGAAAGTAAGTTTTTATTTTGTTACCTTAGTTCTTTCTTCCTCGAATTGAATGTCCGGACTTGTTTAGATTGGACAGAGGTTTTTCAGTTGTCATGAATAAACGGTCAAAGGTGCAAAAATCAGAAAAGTTCGAAAGCGAATCATTAAGTTCAAAGATTTGCAATGCGATAACGCTAAGTGAAATGTACTTTGATATTTTTAACTATAGGCACTCTAACAATCGGCACCCTTAAGGCAGTATAGATATCGGCTTCTCGCGAGTACGGCGATCCCTATCGTGATAATCAGACTTTTTACGCTGGACGATGTTATCTGAAATTTCCGCATTTTCTTTTTCTTTTTTTTTTTTTAATTTGTTACTTCCTTTTCCTTTTAAATACGACTATAAAATAGGTTTTAGTGTAAGCATCACCAAAGTGTTAGTAGGAGGCGCTCTCGATTAAGGGAGCTGAGGAGGCGTTGTACCGAGGACTTATTTTCCCAGGCGAGGATCCGAGGGAGTTGCCGACGTACGAGACTGCTTCGAATACTTAAAACAAGCAAAGGGATCGCAATTCGGGAGTGAAAGAAATACCTTGCGACGTTGTACATAAAACTTTCTACGAGATTGGCGCAGCGTTGTTCCGAGTTAAGCGACACACACGTCACAGGCTTGGTCGATCGAGTGCCATGAATAAACATGATCCTTTTTCGCGACATTTTTTCCATTTCCTCCGTGATAAAGTAAATATTAATGGGCTCTCTTTCTCCGCTCGGGGATTACTGAAGTTTAACCATGAGAAAAATACGAGACTTCCTGCAAGTAGGACTTTGTATTTTCAAAATCGGTCAAGATTGTCCAAGAAATTCGCGGAGAGGTCTGCGGGATAGGTTTTAGGGATTTTGACGAGCGTTTTTCGAGTTATTTTAATTTTAATATATATATTTTTTTCCTTTTTTGTTTTTCCTTTTTTAACCGAAGCCTTGAAGTCTCGCGAATGCACCTTTTTACTTCCTAGGCACGTGGCGATGTTGCACGTCGTAATGACGTACAGGCCGTTGTATCGAAATTGTAGGACGTTCTCGGAGGCCACTCGTCACGTCGAGCCGGATACACGTACAGAAGAGACACGTACCACTCGTACCAGACACCATACTATTTTATACCATATTTGTTACCAGCGTGTAAATTAGACTTAAAGAAGCCTTAGCTTTAGCCTCTAGACCTAAGTCGTTTTTGTAATTTCGTTGGTAAAACATGAAAGTCGTTTTAAGTTGATCCGTTTGTTGTGGAGGAGAGAAGAATACGACGTTTACGCGAATATTTTCACCCGGACATAATCTGTAGCCCAAAGTTCCTACAGGTACACGCAATTATATATTTTTCCCATTTATGAAGCAAACCAAAATAAAGTTTTTAATCGTACGAATTAGCCCGTCTGCATTGAGTATTTACTTCGCGTTATTGACAATATTGTACATTTATTTGCTTCAACCTTTTAGCGAATATTTTCAGAATTGCTGATCGTTAATAAGTAATATTAACAAATATTAACAAATATAACAATATTATCCGTGTATTTTAGCCTTTAGAGTATTGTAGATGATACCATTAGATGGCAGGCGCGTTCATCTTTGTTAATAGTTTGATGAATGACAGTTCTTCCTAAGTTGTCGTTCACTGTCATTTAACTCTCAGAGATGACACGAGAGGCATCTCAAACGTGTTTCACTTAACTGCGGACCAACCTCTCTGAAAAGTCATAAAATCTCTCCCAAATTAACAGAACCCAATAGAAATTAATAATGTAATTCAATTTTCTCGGTGAATTCGGCGATGACATTCAAAATGTGCCTCATTTATTATGTGGAGGTCGTCAAAGAAACTAATCGCTGATTGCTTCCGGTTTCTCATGCAATGTGGAGCGAATAACCTGGACACCGAAGACCTTGATGATGTACCTGAATACGATATACCGGACGTGCCAGGTAATTGAAATGTCCGAAAAATCGATGCCAACCTCAGTGGAACATAATCATTAAAGAAATAACTTCCAGTATGTTTACGACTTACTTGAAACAACGTATTCTTGAACTTTAATCCTTCAGCTATACCTGTAGCGAAATTATCCATAAATTAATAACCAACGAAATTAGGGTCACCTATTAATTTTTAAATTGTATCCATATTTGTCTCTTCAAGATTAGTTTTTGATGTTCCAACGTGTATCGTATGATTTTATTTATATTTAACTTTTTTTCGGATTTGCGGTGCGATCTTTCAGCTATACCTGCAGCGAACTTATCCATAAATGAATAACCAACGAAATTAGGGTCACCTATTAATTTTTAAATTGTATCCATATTTGTCTCTTCAAGATTAGTTTTTGATGTTCCAACGTGTATCGTATGATATTATTTATATTTAACTTTTCTCGGATCTGCAGTGCAATTCTTCCTTCAGCTATACCTGCAGCAAAATTATCCGTAAATTAATAATCAACGAAATTAGGGTCGCCTATTAATTTTTAAATTGTATCTAAATTTGTGCAGCTCTTCAAGATTAGTTTTTGATGTTCCAACGTGTATCATATGATTTTATTTAATTTAACTTTTCTCGGATTTGCAGTGCATTTCGCTCCTCGAGCGTTCGTTTCACCGGTGCCTCCGCGACAGGAAGATCTTCAGCATAGACCTTGTGCCCCAGGAAGTAGGAGGCGATCACCTCCAGAAGTGGTATTAAAAGTACGTCTGGCTCTCGAAGAGATGACCAACAAACCCATCGAGAAAGCTCGCGGAGACCACCGGGATCCCCATATCTTCGAGCCGAGGTTGACGCTGTCAAGTACCATTAATGACACCAGTTGACCGTAGCTCGACATCCGTCCAAGACTGTCAATCTCGGACATAGTCGCGCACTCGTCATTGCGTTCTCCGGTGACGTCATTACTGTCATTTGCTCGTAACCTACGCAGGAAATTCATATCCTGCAGTACCCCGTAAATGCGTCCTCGTGCCCGAAAGACAGATGGACATTAATATTATTTATTCCAAAATTCCATTTAAAGAGTCGAAATAATAAACATTTCCAAGTGAGCAAGCTTGGTTGAATATGTTGTAACGTGTAGGAATAAGTTTGTTAGAACGGCGATTTAGCGAGCCGAAGGATGGAGAGAAAGGAAGAGGAGATTAATTATAAAGAAATAGGGCAAAGGGTTTAGGATAATTATGAACGCGTAAGGTAATACGCTGTAGGTTATTGCACTCGTTAACCTGCCTCTCGATGTCGTCGGTGCTCTTATTACCATAAGTACAGCAGGAAACTCGTATGTTGCGTGGACGTTCTCGTACGTTCCTTCGAAGGCCTTACGCACCGCGGACATTTTCTATCGGCTTCAAGGGACGGTGAATTGATATATCGATAATAAATAGTTTTAATACTCTAAATTCACTTAAATATTTTCTATAAAATGGGACTAGATTAGATGTCTATTTCAAAATAAAACATTTTCAAGCAGAGCTGTATCTCTACAGGCAATGTTTTCACCAGCTGACGAGGACTTGACTTTCCAGGATTTATTGCCGGCAGAAATTGGCGTGCAATCCTCGATCCAAATTTCTTTACGAATAAATGTATACATTAAGCTGTGGTAAGCCCGAATACGGGAAGATATGGGGAAATTGGATCACGGAAACCCTATGAGACTCGCATCAGCTGATCCAGTTTCGACCCTGTCTTCGGTTCTTCCACGCCCAAAGTCATTCCATTTGGCAAGGACCATCAAGGTCCTTCGGATCAATATCCAAATTCATTACAGAATCTTATCAATGAAACGTGCCTACATTACCATTACGAGATTTCTAAATAAAAAAGAACGTTTAAGTAGAGCAAATATTTCTTCCAAGTGTCGAGATCAGCTCTTCCAGGATTTTTTGGTTTACTTTCCAGGATTTATTGCCGGCAAAAATTGGCGTACAAACTTCGACCCGGAATCATTCTACGAATAAATGTGTAAATTAATACGCGATAAGCTCGAGCACGGAGATACGGGGAAATTGGATCACAGGAACCCGATGAGACCACAAGCAACCCGTGCACCAGCTGATCCAGTTTTGACGCTGTCTTCGGTCCCTCCGCGTCCAAGGTCATCTGGTTTGGCGTGAACCACCAGGGTCCTTCCGATGGCTCCTCTAACTCCGATCAAGGTCAAGTAATGATCCATCCCCTTGATTTCTGCCACTCCATCAGGGCCAGCCTCTATGTTGCCCAGGTCGCCTACGTGACGCAGCGGATCCGTAGGTGCTCCGTGATTAACCTGGGCATAAAAAATCGAAGAAAAGGACGTATGACACCGCAAGGATGCTGGTCCACGGAGATAGATCTAGCTTCGAAGGTGTTTCTCTGTTTTGGCCTCCGTCAGCTTCCTACACGAGGTACATCTATGGCCTAAATCTCAAGGTCCTTCCCGCAATTATCATCCGTGCCACAAAGGCAGGCCGCGATGATTGCTTTTTATTATTTTCTAATTCAAAGGTGTCAGGTATAACTAAAACGCGATTTATCTCAGGTATAACTGAAAGGCCTTTCTAGTGTTCAGAGGCTTATGGAAGTCTTATCTGAGAGAATTTCAATTCTATTAATTTTCTATTTTTACTTCAAATAGAGAAGTGTCAAATATGGACGTTATTCTCTAGGAAGTATGAAGAGTTAATTAATTTTTATGTCGTTTTATCGATCCTGATGTAAAATATGAATAAGTTGTAGAGGACGTGAGAATCTCTGAGTTCGGTCATTTTTCATTTTTTTCTCGGTTAGAACTTCCTCCGGAAACGGGGACGTACCATGTAGGGATTAAAATGCGGTCCAGCGGACGTGCAGCCTTTTCTGAGGTCGCCTTTCTCGTGGACGTGAAGTCCGTGAAGACCTGGTGTCAACCCCGAAAGGGTCCCCGTCACCCTGACACCGTTGTGCATCTGCTCGAGGGTCAAAGTACCTCTGGGGCCGTCGACGGGGTTGCCATCTTCGTCGAGGGATTTCATCTCCACCACCGCTTTCAGACCTATTGCCTGGAAAGAAACGATGATAAGAATAGGAAAGTCCTCTATACGGATTGTCATTTATTTATCCCGGCTAACCGGGCCAAGCACTATCGAACAAACCGCGGTCGATATGCTACCGTAAGAATCAGGACATTAACAAATTGCAACTACATTGCATTTATTTTTATAGGGATATAAGAACCTGTAAACCCCGATACATTACTGGGAAGCGATTTACGAATTCACAGGTTTGAATATTTTTCATGCAGGGTTTCTTATTTTAATTCCGATATACGTTGGTAGTTAGGTTCCATGGATAGATTAGTAAATAGATCTAATTAACCCTTCGTTAAAGGTGCTTAAAAGCGTGCGACGTTTGGGTCAATATTGCTTGCATGCATTCATGAATTTCGCCCATATGTCGGAAGAGCTTCGTTCTCAGGGGTTAATAGATAGATTAATAAATAGATTAGAGCTGTATTCATTGCGGCGGTAAACGGGGTTTTTGTTGAGGGGGTAGGAATTTAATTGACACTTTTTAAAAATCATTATGAAAGGAAAAAAGAATTTGCTAAGTGTGGGATTCGAACCCACGATCCCTCGCGGGAACCAGAACTTAAATCTGGCGCCTTAGACCGCTCGGCCAACCTAGCATTTTGCTGCGGACTGGTTAAACTGGTATTTAAAGAAAACATTAAGAGGGACATTTAAATTTCCAACAAAACATTCTAAATAAAAGCTTACGGTGATCATTACGTATGGTAAAAAGTATTAATTTAATCCTGGAGTAAAAAGGTTGGGCCTGCGGGCGGGCTGTCCACAAATGCGCGTTTAAGTTATAATGATAAGCATGAAACGATAATTTACGGACATTTCAATGTGCAGCAAATATTTTAATGCTATATATCTATATACTACATAATGGAGATATCTTGGTTAAGGTGGTTGATTATAGCAACGCAAATTCAGGATGGACGAAGTAAAACGCTTTTATCATAAATAAAAAAGAAGTACTATTTTAGCATTACACAGTATTATTTATTGTTAATTTTTATATTCAATTTTAAAAAACTCGAACGGTGTCTTTCGCGTAAAGACTGTTTTTCCCGTGGAGGATCATGAAATGCTCTCAAATTACATGATTCGTCAGGTGAATAATGATTCACCTGACGAATCACCATTCCTTTAATTACGCACTGAAACAGTTCCAAGCACGAATTTGCGATGCAACGAGTTCGTGCAATTTCTGTTCCATCCCATCAAGCAAGACATAAAGTTAATTTCTTCAAAGAAGCTTCGATTTATCGTCCACGAGTACGAAAATCACGTGCGTGCTTTTGTCCTCCTGTCATAAATCTTGATATTTGACATAAAATAAATAAATTCTTAATTTTCATCGCTAATGCCGATATTTATACAATTTATATGTGCATACACACAATATTGGAAACGTGCTAAATATCAGTATCAGCAACGAAAATTAAGAATTTATGTATTTTACGTCAAACGTACGTGATTTTCGTGCTCGTAAACGATGAGATAAAGATTCTTTGTAGGAATGAGTCGGTTCAATTAGTTTAGTACAAATTAATATGGAAATGAAGATAAATGGCGGTAAATGAATTGGTTTAATTAATGTAGTACAAACTAATATGAAAATGAAGGTAAATTATTTTTAGAACGTGCACAGGTGCACATTGCTGGACCACTTGACAACACATACGAACAGATAAGGCTCCATGTAGACCTCGTAAAGGTCGCTCCTTGTCCCAGGATACCCAGGCAGACTCCTGATGAAGAGGGTCCTGTCGTTCAGGTTGATCGTCATCCTGTCATACGGTCCTCCTGTAGATCCTCGTACGAGGATCACGCCGATAAGGACGAGTGCCGAAAACCACATCTTGATCTCGATCGCTGATGGATGATAAGATGCTAGATGCCGAACACTTGCTGTTGGTGTTATGTACTCGTTGTTGGATCCCTCGATTCGGATCAATCGATCGATCGATCAGGTATGGGTGAATCCACTTGAGAGGATCACGCGAGAAGCTGGATCGTAAGTGGTGCTGGAACAGGCATACTTCGTATAAATATACCGAAAGTACCCGAGGGAGACCTTGATCGGATCCCTCCGAGAAGACCTTTGAAGTGTGACGAGAGTTCCGCGATCTGCTCTCTCTAGAAACGGGATTGATCAATGATCCATCGATCCTCTCGAGGCACTCGACGCGCTGAAACGTGCGCTTCGAGATTTGCACTGCAAGAGAATATATAACTTTACGTATAAAAGATGCAATTTGGGGCTTTTTCGTCTTCACTGCATCATTTTCTGCATCCAAGGGATAAACTTTGTGATCTACAAAATTGATTTAGTTACGATTGATTAAATATACGAAGCTGTGTTAACTTGAAGCGCGAGGGTGATTTAGTGGTTCCGTTCACCTGATGATTTTTCACGATTAATTTAGGGTTTTGAGATTAATTTCGACTTCCGGTCTATGGTTTCACCGGTTTGAGAGAATTTCCTATTCGGGGAGTTTCGCAAACTTTTTTTCAGGGGCCAGAATCTCGAGTTTCCGCGGGAAGAGCGGACGCGCGCGCAGCCGCAGTAGATCGCACCTGCGGAGGAAGACACCTCGCCCGATGCCGCGGTAGCTTCCCTCTTGGCACTATCGCCTTCGGTTTTCTGCAACTTCGACAAGCCGACCACTCGAACTCCTACCTCGCTGGCTCACACACCAATGGCGGAGTGAAAGCCAGGAGATGCCACGGGCAGGACGCCTCCGGCATCCTTTTGCTGTCGTTTACTTTTGCCAAGACCTGCACCACCTGCCATCTCGGGTTTACATGGGACGAAGATAGATGCAGAACTTGCAACAGGCGAATATTATAGAAATATATGTAGCGAGGCAGGAAGAAATTCTCCATTGGGCCACCACTTTGGAAGGAGGTTCACACGGCCCTGCGTAGAAAAAAGCAGCACGGTAAAGGTTAAAAGAAATCGCTTTTCATCATTTTTAATATTTCTTATGACTGTGTATAGTTGGGACAGATACGGTAGTCCTGTATGATTTATCTGGGCAGGATTTATTTGAAATCATCACTTTGACGGTTAATTAGCGAGACGTCATTTGATTCCAGGATCACCAGCAGCTGTTATAATTACCGGTGTCAAGGATCACGCACCGTGATATCGCTCACGAGATTGATAAACCTGGTTGTGCAACTTTGCACTCTGTAATTGCGCTCTTGCTCCAGGCAAGGGCTGCAGGCGATTTAAAGGGTACGGTAATTTACTGACTTGTACCCGATTTAATCTTGAATGGTACATTTTTTCTGTAATGTTATCGACTTTTTATAAAAGGTCGATCGAAGTCCAAACCATTCGAGTTACTTGGCCCCAAATTTTATTTTTTTTTTCTGATTGAATAGAATGATCACTTTTTTCATGATGCACCGTCTTTGTAATTTTTGAAAATGTGTAATTTCTCATGTCTCGTGTATAAGATTATATAGCAATGTGTGTTTCAATTTTTAGTATTATTAATGATAACCTCCCTCGGGTGTCCCAATACCATGTTTATGTTGCCCAAGAGTTGCGCACAAATTTGTGCAAGCAAATTATATGGTAATTTATCGCTCGATGTTTGAACAAGTACTAGGCGTATGTAAGGCGAGTAAAGATGGGAATTTCAAGTCTTCGGCAAACAAATTGTGGAGAGTATTCCAAAGACGGCGAGAGCCTTCGAGGCAGTTCAAGTCATTGTCAATGACTATTACGACAGCGGTCATCACTTATGACGACAGTTATGACATGATGACGTACAGTTTGCCCTTATCACCTTACTTGTACGTATCTCTGTTGTCATAAAAATTTGTTAAATAATACTCGCCCCTGGTGAATTAAAATACGATTTTTAGGGGAACATTTTTCATATTGAACGTAATAAAAATAAGTTTTGGCATTTTTACAGCTGTAATTGGACTCAAAGCGATAAGGGGAAAATTAGCATTGTTTCTAGTATTTCATTATTTCAAGAACATGCGGTTTACGTAAATGAAAGTAGGGCAGGTTATTGTAAAATATGCGCATGGTTAATGGTCATCAACCTCGACGCCGTAATTTCTCATATTTCTTGAGACGTGTTACATCTCATTACTCAAACCGCACCTGGATGAAATCAAGTACACAGAGACAAAGACCGGTCGATCGATTAAGGAAAATCGATTTGCCCCCTACGAATCGAGTCATTGATTTATTGACTGTGCACTCCCGATTATGAATGGCGCGTTTGTGTCTCAATTGCTCGAATTGACCAATTACAAGCGTTTGAATTGTACGCTTAACTTGCAATCTGATACGCACTAATTACAAATTGCACACCGTTGTAACTCATGGGAACATCTAAATTGCAGATTACAGGTGCACTTCGTACGCCGGTTTTTAATAGTTGTAATAAACGCGAGGCAACGTTCGCTTTAATGCCAACTGTAATTTTGCGACTATTTTCCTATTCAAGGCGTGTATTACGATCTAAGATTTGTAATTACGGAATCGCTCGTCCGTATCGAAACGGGGAAAAATAAATCGGATAATTCAGGGTGCAACGTTCAATTGCATATTTTATGGGTTTCTATTTTCCTTATGCTACTGTGCATGTATTCATCTTTTTCTCATTCTTATGAATAACTGTTTTCTTCGAAGTTGCAACCAACGCATGGAGTCACCGTTGTCATTTCTATGTAAATTTTTTCATTTTCTGACTCTTTCTTGTCATCCTTGACTCTGTCTCGAGGCCGCCATTACGGTACCGATGTCTATCCATAACTAATAACTCTTTTCCTCTTTTCGAAGTTGCAATTAACTTGCATCCTCGATACAACATGATATGATATAATAACTTTTTAATGTTTTACGAAACAAACATAAGTTAAACGAGAACTGAATTACCGATGTTTCTTGATTTACTGAATTATTGATCCAATAATAAATAACAAATTCGCGCAGATCTATCATTTAGATTCACACCTCATCGATTATCCTCCGATCTCCACGACCTGATAAACCAGGTGTCGTAAATGGCAACTGCCGGATTTAATGAATAATTATCCCGATAACATGGAGGGTAATTTCCATAATTGTACTTAAGGGCCTATAGATAGCGACTCATGCGAATTACGGAAGATCTAGTTTTTGGAATGATAATTTAAAAAAAAAATGAATGAAGGTGGAAACACACATTATCCCTCCTTATAAGATCTGCTCCATATTGAGTGCATTGAAAACCGAAAGAACTAGTTTAATTGTACTTACGTGCTTTGAATTATGATTTATCCATATCTCAACTTAGCCGAATTGGTATCTCTGTCGAAATGTTTGTAGAGCATATCTCGTGAGCCCATGACCCATTTTGTATTCGTTTTACGAATATTTGATATTTCTGTACTTGAATTTGATGTTTCTGTACTCTGGATTTGAATAATCCCGAGGTTGTTGAAATTTCAAATTTTGAACTCGTTCTCAGGCCTGATCTCGAAATATGAGGCTTGTACCTGTTGTCAGTGGTTGACATAGTTTGTAGGGCCCTAGGTCAACTATAAATTATACTTAAACCTGACATTTTTGTTGTATATTGAGCGGATGCAGTACAGGCTGCATTTTACCTAATTTTATTATAAACTGTTACTTCAGGTGTAGGTAAGTAGGTCTATAATTCCTAGAATTCTCAGAAACACTGGACAGGGCTGGGCTCAATTTTGTTCAATATATGGTTGCAAATGACTGGCTGTAAAAATGATTAGGACATTTAGTACCGTGAGACACGTTGATGGGGTAAGAGGATTAGCTTTGCTCCCAGAAAAACACTTTCCTCCACAAATGGAAAAGTTTCCTATTTTCCTTTTCTTCTCGAGGAATTGGGGTGCAGGGCAGAATTAATCAGGGTTGATGAACAATTTATTTATACATTTTATACATATCCTTTGAAGTACCAAATAATAATCTTAGCAGCTATTTAGACCCCTTATCTCCTTGCCAAAGTAATCTCGAAAGTAATTGAATAGTCGATTTTATCGATCGAACCTCAATACATACGGTTAGCATAAATAATACAAATCGTCCCAAATAAAAAAACTAGAAAAATTTCCTACGTAATCCATCCTGTATATCAAAAGTGAAATGCGTCAAAAACAGTGGATATTAATTTTTCTCTAAATTCTGTATCTTCATGCAAGATGAAAAATATGGATAAAACCAAAAAGGCACCTCTTCGTGTTCTGAATTTCTGCGGCAGCTCCGAAACGCGGTCATCTTAATAAATCATGCACATTAGAATTTACCATTCATGCCCACTAAGAATTCCGAATCCGTCAAAGCCACGTGGGCAGTTCTTCCCGTGTCGCATTAAATTCCTAAGAGAAGCATGAAAAAATCGTAAAGGTGTCGGTTTAATTTCCGGCCGGGTTTCTGGGGCAGGTCTGGAAAGTGGTCGTCCTTAGGTCATAGGAGGACAGTGGCCAAGTAACAATCGATTTCACTCGGCCATCGAGACCACTAGAAGTGCGCATATTGTGCAGGTCTTAACGCGGTCTGCCAAGTTTGCGAAACCTTGATACTTTTATCGGTAATGTCGCCGGGTGGAAGGCGGGGCAACCGACTGTGCCCTACTGTAACTGGCTTACGGTAACCGGCGGCGCTTTGGCGAACGTTTCTTGCCGGTTCGGTTTCAGTTTCTTTTCGACGCCGAGTCGTGCGTCTCACGCTGCCAAAGCGCTGCCGATACCGACACTTCTCCGACATCCGCCGAGCCGTCTTTCCGGCAGATCGAGGTCCAGAGAGGCTGGAAGATATTCCTAGAGAGCACCACGCCTTTGTCTCGGCTGTTTCCTCGTGACCCAGATCGTGGTGAGTCATCGACGAGTTTCATTTCCTGAAAAATACCAGGTGGATTGTTAAGTGAAATAAGTTAAAGATGTTACGTTAAATGAACGGTTAAAGGATATTTCCTCCCGTTAGGGAATTTTTAGCCTCCATTTTGGAGCCTGCTTAGCGAGCGAAGGAGTCTTTAGAAAGTTTCTAGACAGCGGTCGTCTTGTGTCGCCTGTGGAAAATGCTTCTGAGAGTTGGACATTTAATAATGCCGAATCGATAAGGATAGTGGTTATTGAATGGTTTTTCAAGATGGTGGAAAGCTGAGGGTAGATCGTATGTTGTAAATATTAAGACTAGGGGCTGTTTCCTCTTATGGCAAGGACGTGTTTAAATGCGTATTAAGTGTAGGGTGGGAAGTTCTATATTTCTTGAATTTGCCATGATTTTAATTTTGGGAATAATTACCAGACCAGCCCTAAATTTTATTCCCGGGAGTAACACCGAAGGTTTACTTGAAAAGAACATTTCTTTCTATACCTCTAATTCAGATTCACTTTAAGAAGCATACATTTTCCCCCTTTGGACTCGTAAATAAGGAAAATCATTTCGTTCCTAAAAATCGACGAAACTTTCGATAAATCGAGATTTTTCAAGTCACTCGTGCCTTATCACGCCTTATGCAATTTATCTCCTCTTGACCCATTAACGTAACCACACGACCCGGGTTCTAAAAATATTTCCCATAAACAACGCGGAACATTAAAGACCATTTTAAAACAAAAATTCCTCTTTGAGTAATTCCGAGAAGCTATTTACGGATCGTTTTCCTGTATCGCCGCGGCGCACCTCTCGATAAAAAGTCAGGATTTTTCCTCGACGGATATTTTCCTTCTATTCCCCTAAAGGCCCGCGGTACTCACCAACGTTTTCACGTACGTTTGCACGATGTGCGTTCATTCGATGCCTGGCTGATAAATAATTGCGAGGGGTGACACGTCGACATGCTTTACGGCCCTCCGTTGGCTGATCGATATGGTTCGCGTAAAGTCGGCATGCGGTATATCGCCCATTATATGTAAAATGCTCTGGAATTCCTGTCCGAGGATGAATCACGGCTTACGTAAAGTCCAGTTCCCTGGGTATCGATGTGCACGAAGGATCACGAGCGATCCTGCGATCTCGCGATCCTGGCGATAGCGGTGTCGATTAAAGAAATCACCGGGAGAGCTGCCGGGCGAGAATGTGATTCCGGTTTGACTACTATGTCGGGTCTGGTACTCGCGCAATGAATACGCGAGTGCACCCGCTGGAATATGCTCTATGAGTGCAGTTATACCGTTGCAACACCGATTTAACCGCATCGGACCGAGGAGCTCGGCCCGTCATGGCGGCGGGTCGTTGCAGCCTCGTAAAGATTCGACCCGGCTAAACACTCGTCACCCCGATGACACTTACCTCGTAAATTCACTTTCAAATCACGGTTGCAAAAGGCGACGGAAGAAGGATGGAAAAGTACCTCAGAAGAGCGGACTTAACACTATTTCTACCAAAGGTGTCAAAAGACACCTTATAAAATTTTAACTTGAAATTAGTTTCAAAGTTTAATAATTTTTTCTCAATTGATGTTTTGAGTTTTCATATAATAATTGTTAGATTTATTTAGCGGTATCATTTTCCTCCAGCTCATCAAAACCTTTTGGTCGAAATAGGTATACACAAAATCGTGGTAGAAATAGTGTTCATTTTATAAGAATATTAGTAATAATTCCTACGGGTAGGAAGGTGAAGGAGAGGAAGAGATGGAAAAAGTTCAGATTAGGATCATCTTTAATTTAATTTAATGATCATTTTGTGGAACGGTAGGGTGAGAGTCATGAAATTTAAGTTACCAGATCCCTGGGTACTTTTCCGTGGAACCGTTAGTGGGATCTTATTGGACCAGTTAATATTGATAATGCTTCCCAAGGCATTTATGAACAGTTTTGATAAGTGGATAAGACGGGAGATGGAAAAATACCTTATACCCTGTTCTTCATTTGATTTCGACAATTATCTTTGCGGGGCGGTTAAGGTGAAAGAGTCGAAGAAATGCAATTTGGTATATCGAACTTAGTGGATTCTAGGCCATTAGTTTTTCTTCGGCATTGCGGGGCTGATTAGAGCAAGGATCTCGCTGCGGCGTGGCGACAAATGGTTTTACGCTCGTAAAGATTGTACTCGAATAGAGGCTCGAAGGTGATAACGTTTACGAGGCGACCTGCGAGGCCAACTATCTGCGGAAAAACATTACCACCAGGAAATTATTATCCGATCCTTCAGAGCCTTCCTTCGGATTTGTAACATTGCGTTTAAGTTCCACTAACTTCGGAATCGGCACCAGAGGAGAAGACTCGACTAGCTTTGACGTGGACGCAAGTAAATATTAATTATTTTGCAATATATTTGACAAGTAATGGGCAATAATAATTGGTAATGACTTGACGTTAACGAAACTTGTTTGTATCATGACTATACTTAAGATAGCGTGGAAGCGATTAAAGGAAAAAATATTCGATTAATGATTATGAAGAGGTTGGTTTAATAATTCATTTAATACCTTAGTTTATTATTTTATTTTCAATATTGGTCATCGGTTTGGTGTAGAAGCAACGATCAATTCGAGGTGCAACGTCCGCATCGTATTTTAATAAAGAACATCTATCAGTTTCTCGATTTATATAAAAAGAAAAGTGAAAAACAGATTCCGTCGGTAGTTGTTACTGGCTCGTTTAATTTATTTTCAATTTACAGTTCAGATGTTGCAATAAAATTCAAATACGCATTAGCATATGATGATTTGTTTCTTTTAATAACTCGCAGAGTAATGTCTGCAACTCGACGTACACTTCCTTTCTACGTCAACGTGTCTATTTGCCAACTCTAGAGGTTCTCGTCCCATGACGCATAAATTACGTTTGCACGTCGATAACCGGTATTAAACCTTATCATTTTTTAGAGCATCTCAAGATCTTTAAATGATTTTTTTGAATATATTCGCTTTTCCCGCAACTTTCCAAGTAATACCTTTCGAATTCTTTCAAAATGATTTCATTTAGAGTGACATACGGGACTTTTTCGACACCGTTTACAAAATTACATTGAAAATTAGAAAAGTCAAGGGGAGAGGGTGAAATAGTCGAAAGAGATGCTACGAAGCGAGAAAGGCTACTTTGCCAATGCGCATTTCAAATCATTTAATTAACGGTGACCGGAAGTAACGATTACAGGGCACCAATAAGGCTGCCGTGAAGTTTAACAGTGAATGGGAGGATTGCAAATGTAATTTCCGGTAGCCTTTATGCTGCTCTGCATTGCACACAAAGCTCCCTGTGTCAATCACAGTCACGATTATCTCCGCTCGGTACATCGCGACTCATCTTCCTGAATTCTCGGTTGCATGATCTGCTCCGAAATTGGACCAATTATTGGTCGTCTTCTGCCCAGCCAGTCGAGAGTCTGTTGAAAGGAAAAGAATTCAACGGGATGCATTTCGATGCAGTTCCGTAAAGATTACGTATTTTTTACTACATTTACAACAGTGCGCAAAATATTGAGTAGGCTAAAGAAATGCGTATATTATCGATGTTGATTTTTTTTTTTCGACCAATTTAACGGAGTGCTTTTCATATAGACCTGTACTGGAAGTATAACGTCAAAAATCCATGCAATTTGGTTGATATGGTTGTAACAGGGTGGTCTTGTAAATTTAAATAAACGGGATAAATGTCAAATATGAAGAAATAAGCGAATATATTATTTATTATATTAGATCGCAGTCGTAAAGCCTTATGTTGTATAAAAATGTTAGCCCTTTGGAGGCCTTTATTCGTAGCCATTTTTTCACCACGGAAGGTCAGTGTGGACCCGCCTTTGAATCTACCTACAATCATCTCGGTCCAGAAACGTCTAAGTTGTTAATGCCTATTCCGCTGATCTGTCTTAAGATTTAATAGGGTAAATTCAGACGAGACTTCTCCGCCTGCAATGTATTATTTGCTCATCTGGAATCTCTACCTCCGCGTATCTTCGTAAAAGGATCTCTTTATATAATATTAACATCACCTCTGTACCTATTTAATAGGATGATAAAAAATGTTAAAAAAAATTCAACATTTTTTCCCGCACTTTTTCTCAATTCACCGTGAATAATCATGAAAAGTGTTAATAAAATGATATTCGTAAGCTGTTGGGCTTCCGAAGCTGTATTCATTTTTCTCTAATATCATATGAAAATTCCACGATGTCAGTGACGTAGATAATTTTATGTACTCCAGTTTTCGATGGTAGATTAATTAAGATATCTATTCCCAGCTCCGATGTATTGTGTAAATAGCGGGTTAGAAGTTTCGCGGAGGCGAATATTCGCAGTAATTCTTTCTTTGCAGAAGGTCAGTGTGAATCTGCCTTTGAACCTATCTAGAATGATCTCGGTCCAGAACCATCTCATCCGTCCAGGTCCATTCCGCTAATCTGTCTTGAGATTTAAACGGGCAAGTCCAGACGAGACTTCCCCCCTTGGAGTGCACTTGCTCGCCCATTTGGGAGAATTCCACTCTCGCAAAAGTATCTCCTCGAAAGGGATTCGTTCGGGGCAAGGCGGGGAAGGTGCGGACCAGCCACTGATATAAGCCGAACACGCCTCAGCATCCACAGTCAGTCATTCCGAGTCTATAAACATTAACGTACGACCGGTAGGTTGCTTTCACTCTCGGTGCATTTGCTCGACAATTCGATCGGGTTTTTAGAGTTTATCGGAAAACGGAACGCCCGCCGTGGACGTTGCCCTAGGTCAGCCACCGGTCTTCCAGAGCGGCATAAATCGACTATCGATTATTTTTACTTTTTATTTTCTGTATCTATTATTCTTGGTTTTGGTCCCCGCGTTTGAAAAATTCCAGTCTCTGGAACAGTTCGTTTAACGAGATTTCGCGCCATCGTAGAAAAACGTAATACTTGTGGACATTAGCCTAGGTCGGGTGCCGAGATCCCTAGGCAGCGTAAATCGAACGCTATCGATTATTCTTACTTTTTATTTTCTGTATCTATTATTGTTGGTAATACTTGTGGACATTAGCCTAGGTCGGGTGCCGAGATCCCTAGGCAGCGTAAATCGACCGCTGCTGACTATTTTTATTAATTATTTTATGTATTTATTGTTTCCGGATTTGGGCACCATGGTCTCCAGTTGAACTATTCGTTTGACAAAATTTTGCGCGACCGTAGAGAAATAATAGTTATCATAAACTTTACCGTAACATCATGTGTCGGTTTCCCGGAATCTCACAATATGATCGTTGCTAAGTATTATTATTCTTTACACGTAGTTTCAGATTTTAAATAACGGGTTTAAAAAATTCGCGACTTCCGGATTCCTCGCGATCGTGGGAAAATGAAACGTCGTTGAGGCAGGTCAGGCACCGGTCATTCCGCCGTACTGTTTGCCATTGAAGTCAGGCGATTCAGTCATCTCGTTGTAGCATTTTTTTTTAATCTTTTTTTTTAGTTTCAGTTTACAACACGAGTAAAGTTTGGCAGTTTCCAAGTGAACGTACGGAAAATCATTTCCTCCACTCCTGAATGCCATATATCGATTACTCAGCCGTTCATTTATTCCTCAAAAGTATTTCCCGTTTTAATTTCTCGTTTCCAGTAATAATAATCGTGTACAACGTAGTTTCTTTCTTTTTCATTGAGAAATTTGCAAAGGACAGAATTTAAACGATTAATTTCGTCGTTTCCCCTACGTTCGAATCGGTGAGGAGATTTATTTCCTTTCTAAATGAATAATCGACCTTGCTCAGGAGACTTCAATTTGAAGCAGAGTTAACGCGTAGTTCCATTTAACACATGTTGCGTATTTATCCTCTTGGTTGGCGATGAGTTAAAAGCAATCGTTGAGGTCATAAGTTGCGTTACCTACGTCGTAAACTCCCATTTACCTCCACCTGATTGCGAATGTACATACTTACCTGTGCTGAAAGCAAGAGAAGAAAAATCAAACAGGACCGCCGCGTTTGTTAAATTAACATAAAAGAGCAATGGCGATCCATGACTCGTCGGTGCGCGAAATTATTCCTGGTGAATAATTTTCCGGAATTCTCGCGATCCGGAAATTTCTACCACTCTCGGCAACGTGTAAATGAATATTACGTAAAAATTCGCCTACATGGATTAATATTTTGAGCGGGGCTTTTATCGCAATATTTCATGACGAAGTATTGCATGTAAACTGCACTGAGGTTTTTTTTTTATAAGAAATCCTTTTTGGAAAGGGATTGTTTGACCCAAACGGTTTCCTTCCGACCATATTACGCGAGTGAACTTTTCTTTGGACAATTTTCCCGGAAATCGGAAACGGTACACCTGTTACGTCTTAACATTTTTTGCGGAGTGTTAAAACGTGAGTCCAGAACGTAACGGTGTCGTGTAAAAGCCTTCCGGATGAGCACCCATCGGTTGGGATCGATACTTCCTGGAAGTCGTCGGTGGTAACGCACATTTGCCCCGATAATCTCGATTTCCGCTAAAATGATTTCCCAGAGTCCTTGAAAAATTCGAGTCCTACCAGGGATTTTTTTTATCATTTTCCACGAATAAGCAACGAACTCTGGAAAATATCCATCTCGTTGGTAATATTTTCTGCAATCCATAATAACTCAATCACGGCTTTCAATTGAATTTCAGATCATTTTGAACATAAAATCACGTGACGGGAATTTTAAAACGATTTTTACGTTAATCAATTCACGTAGATAATTTTTGCGATGAAACGAAGACTAGCTGAGGGAAAGACCTCGAGAAGCGTGACATTTTTTTCTTTTTTTTTTTTTGAGAAATCGCCAATAATTTCTTTAAAGTTATCGAGATGATCGCGAATCGTTCCCTCCATCTCTGTGACCTCAAAGTGTGTCGTATCGTAGCTTTCACTTATTACACCAGAGATTCGCCGACTCGTCGAAGAACTCTGTCCAGTACAACGATTACGCAAAGTCGTCTTACAAGCAGTCGTTAACCTTCGCAAATACGTAGCGGAGCGAAATTATCTTCCTTTGTAGGAAAAAGTTGGGGAGAGAAGGAGTTAGATTCGGTTATATATATATATATATTTTAACAGGAAATATTATTCGCTGTCAAAACAAAAAATGAAGTGATACTTAAATTTTTAACCGAACTTGAACTAAAGATCTTGAACTTAAAGTCAGCATTTCTATTATAAATGTTGTCGATAAATTTCCGTACGTTTATGGGCGAATAATAAAAAAAATGCTTCGCGGCTTGCACGATGAGAATTCAGTAGCACTTTCGCATCAATGGTTGTTATTATCCATTAATAACGTAATTGCAAGGCCGCGGTGACGACATTACTGCGTCGTTTTTAGGGCTGCGTCGTCACGGTTTGCGAGCGAGAGGTTCTCCGCGTTTGCCTTCACCTATTCCCGCGTACATGACCTTCCACAAGTAGTAGTACCTTTTGTACCGAGACATACAAATCGACTTCCTTTTTAGGGACAGGCATCAGAGAGGCGATTAATAGCCTGTCGTCGCTCGAATCGATTGCTCTTTAATCGGCCACCCAGACGTCCGATATAAATTTCCAATAATTACGCGGAGGTGAAAAAATGCGGAAGAATTACGAGAAAGAAAAAGGGGAAAAAAAGAATGCGAAGGTCGAATAAAGTATATGCAATGCATGGTAATAAAAGGGTTGTAAAGTTCCGACGATTTGTATTTCTTGAGCGGTAAAACCTCGAGTTCTGGTGTGCTGGGAAAATTTACTGTTTCTTGGCCTAGTATACGTGACGTAGGTGTATTGAATTTAATTTAGTAGAAGGACACCTTGAAGGTTCCCTTGATTTCAATCAGTTTCTGTTAATTGCTTTCGTTTACGTACGCAATGACATTTTTGTAATAATTCGTTTAACCATTGTTAGAAAATTTAATTTCCAATTGTCTTCATAAGTTTTCTCCTTTTTCAGAATCATCATGAGCATAGCACTCTATTTCCTCGCTGCGGTCCTCATCGTCTCGGGTGCATCGGGGGTAAGTGATGACGTCTTAAAATCTGCATTTTAAACATATTCAAAGTATTTAATAACTCCACTCTGCTCTGTATTCGAGATAAAAAATGTACAGCTATTGACATTTAAGTCAAGTTTCAAAATATTGGCTCAGGAATTGTAATTTCATATTCGCGACAGTTTCTTTTTTTTTTTTGCGAATGTACTCTGACGAGATAGGCTCTCGGCAAATATAGTCGCAACTTTGCAAACAATTTCTTAGTCATTAGACTTGCATTCCTATTTTTTCAAGGCATAAAACGCGTACATGGTGTACAAGAATGCCGTCTCTCTTTACATTGGCAGTGTTATCTATATCGCAGATATTCATGTTCACAGATGCACAACAATCTTTAATATAATAATTGATTACCTCCACGAGTCTTTTTGAGTGCAATGATTTTGATTAATGCTACCGTCTCGAAGGTCGACATGATTTACAACGAATCCGAAGCGGCATTTTTCTTTTCGCTATTTTTCATTCATCTCATTTTCTGTTACCCCTTCGAGTGTCAATTGTCATTTAATTGAGACCGTCCCAGGAAAGCTAGACTTGCAATTGCAGCCTCTAAATATTTTAGACTGAGAATCATGTCTTAATTTACAACTTATAACGAAATTAATGATAACGGAATTATTTGTGCCTTCGCAAAAATTCATTTATTATTTTCTCGTAAGATCTGTTCGAAAGCTTGATCGCCTCCTAGCTATCCGAGTGTGAATGATTTTTACTGAAGCTCAAGTGAATTTAATCAGGAACCTGAAGCCGAAGAACTGGTCGGCATAGTGACTCTACGTCCTCAAGATGCCGCGACGAATAATGTCACCGGCGAGATTAAATTCATCCAAAGCAAGAAGAACGGTCCAGTCAATGTAGTGGGAACCATCCGTGGTTTGGCAGAAGGTCAACATGGCTTCCACGTGCACGAAAAAGGAGACCTCAGAGATGGCTGCACCTCTGCTGGGGCACACTTCAACCCTAAGAACGTAAGTGACCGACTTGACAAAATGGGGGACATTGTAAAGACTCTTTCCTTATATTAGCATTTTTTTTCTTAAATAAATGGATTCAAACAATCTCTTGGGAAATTTTAGGTAATGATCTTATATCAAAATCGTGACAAAAATTCTGCTGGGCGATGCATCAATTCTGATGATTGTCAATGGTCGCGCATATCAGTCACATATTGTACCTTCGTTATTTATTCCCTCTTATCGTTGGTTTATTTCCCTCGTAAGTCGTTTTGAGAAATCAAAAGTGGTCTTTGGATGACTCGCGGAATTAACGATTGTTTCGTTGACAGCAATCCCATGGCGCCCCAGAAGACGAGGTGAGGCACGTGGGTGACCTCGGGAACGTGATCGCGAACAGCGATGGCGTCGCCAACGTGAACATCACGGATAACATCATTTCCCTTTGTGGACCCCACAACATCCTCGGCCGAGCCCTAGTAGTCCATAGTCAGGTTGATGATCTGGGCAAGGGGAACCACACATTGTCCTTGACGACCGGGAACGCAGGATCGAGAGTGGCCTGTGGCGTCATCGGCGTCCTGTAGGTTATCATTCGACCTGGAGCTATCGTCATCTCGTAATCCTTGATAATTAAATTGACACTCAATTGGCCATTTAAATGCTCCGAATGACACATTAATGATAACAGACTTCGATGCTCGGCTGAGACATCGCGGGTTTAACTCCCATGTTTAATTCATTGAGCAATCTCGGATGATCCTTTGATGACCCTGATTAAAGCAAGTGCTTGAGTGACATTGACTACGGGATGTCTTCTGCAGATAATTTATTATTTAAAGGTCCTGTTGGTTAAATTTGTATCCCGGCTTGTATTTCGACTCGATTGATTTTGAATCACTTCCTTGGTTAGCAATATTATTTTCATATATTAGGCCTACGTTAATAAAGGCGATATTATTAATTAGGAGGGTTGTTGATAAGTAGGTACTCGACAAGAAGCGGCGAGGTGCCCTATTTCAAGATCCTTAGTTTTAGAGAATTTAGGTAAAGAAGATAATAATCTTCTCTCACGGATGTCCCTGATTCAGGTCAATCAAGCAATAGTGGAAACTCGTGAAGCCTTGATTGCTCGATGGGTAAAGTTTTTCCGCCAATTCCAGCTAAAGCTGAAGTCATCCAACTGGCACCCGCAAACTCCCACGAGAGATGCACCAGGAATCCGGCAATTATGCTCGTCAAGATTTAGTTGGTCGGACAAGATAATTGTAGATAAATGTTCCTACCCTTTTTTGTTTTTGTTTCACCCTTGTCTCGTCTAAGCTTGGGTAATCGATGCCCCATATATTTGTACAAGTCCCGTAAATAAACTTTCTCCTTTCTTTAATTTTTTCTCGCTTAAATTCCCTTCTCTTTTTATAATAAACATTTTGTCCGGCCACCCTTCCGGACAAGTCCGAAATATTGTGAGCTTTTTCTTCTCGTTGCTTCTTGTCTTTTACCTTTACTCTCTATAGAGGAAATGACGCGTCTTGCACAGTACCGGAGCTTTCGAAAAAGTGCTTTTAAAGGTCTTATCGATATGTCTACACCCTTGTCTTTCCATGTTATGTGATATTAATTCCTGTAAAATAAGAGAACGAACCAGATCTTTAACCTCAGAAATAAACTCCACTTTCCCAGAAGGTCTCGGCCGCACTTTTTGTCCAGATTTGTTCGCTGATAAGTATTTGATCATTTTAATGTTGCTCTTTTCAAGTATCCTTTCCATTTTGTCTGTGATGGGTTTGTTGATGAAATTGCTGATCCGATGCAAGAACGGACGGGAGCTTTCACAGAATTGCTTTTACGCCTCCAATCGGTATTTTCCACTTTCTTTGTTCGGCTGAAATGTCAGAATATGCTTATCCACAATGCGTAATACCAAGTTGTTTGAATTCTCCTCGACATTAAATGTGTGATTAGAGTTAAACATCACTATGAAAAATCCAAGAAATTCACGAGAAAAATAAATGAAACTTGTGTGAAAAAAAAAATCACGATTTCTACATCCAACCTGCTTCTCAATCACCATGCCGTTTAAACCAATAAATTACCACCACTTAAATGAGTTCACCGCGGCCTTACAATTAAGTGCAGCACACCATGGAAAATGTATAATCCCTGTAAAAGTGCACTCTCAGGTCGCTCTAAGTATTAATAAAATTATCAGTAATTACCATAAATACCGGGCATAATGTCAATGGCGAACGTTTCGTGCTTATTCGCTCTATTCACCCGTTAGTTGGTAATTCTGCAAATACATAATGAATATTCTAAGGACGAATATCCTCATTTTCGATCATTACAATTACAGTTTCAAGCACACATTTACTTGTACATTTATTAATCTCAACTCAGCCAATTAACCCTACTACATTGATTATTAAAATTACGAGAAAGTTGGCAGGAGATTCAGAAAAAAGAAAGGAAAAATTAATAAACCACTAAATTAACACTTTTTCTTATCGTTCCCTTCAAATCTTCGAAAATCGATAGTAGATGTCTGTGCAGAAATTATCAATGATAAGTACACGAATTTAGAGTAATTCAGGATTTATGTGACAAGCCGTGAAGTCCTTGTAAAAAGTCTACCATCTTGTCAATACGTTCACTCGTCACCACGAGGTAACCTAGTTACATAGGAATTATCGATTGGCTCCATTGTGTTTACAGGTCACCCACCGGAAGTTGGTCTAGCAGCGGTGCATCCGACCTGTCATCCGTGACTGTCATCCTGACGACAGTCCTTGCAGCTGCACTGCACCATAAGTGGGAGCATTAGAAGAAATTCACCATTCTATCTTTGCAACTGACGTCACTCTTCGTTTCGGTGCACCCGAGGCTCTCGGAATGCGCATTACGTACTTACTGTATTTTATTATATTTATAATGTACTACACAATTTGTTAGGAATTAAGGAGTCTAGGTGTCGTATTTATTGGACGTTCGAGAACGGCGATGTACTTTGCGAAAAGTGATAGGGAATATCTGGTTTCGATTTATTTCTATGCAGGGGAAGATCTGAATAACGTAAATAATGTCATTAATTTTTCGTAAACTAGGTGGAGATTAATGGAATTTTTCTACAGTAGCGGAATTGACGTTGACACGATTGTAAAGTAGAGAGTAACGAAATTAGGGTGTTAATTAGTTACGTCAAGGTGTGATTAGGTGTATTATCATTAACTGTCGGATTGCATGTCGTGCGACCACTTTGAAAGAGCAATTGTGTTAAATTATTGACCAGGGAAATGATAACAATTGTTGTATGACGCTTTATTTGGCTTTAGTGCTAGTATAAAGTTTTTCAACGCCGTTCAGTAACTTTGATTTAAATGTCAATGCATCGATGCGTACATCGAAATTGTTTATAAACTTGCGTGGCAGAAATGGCTCGATACAGTCAGTATTATGTGTCATTTGTTCTTAGCGATAAGTAATTTAAATTTGGGAAGAGAGTATCCAAGATTTCGGAAATTTGCTGAGGCTTTGGTGATTTTTTTTTCCTTTTTTGGTAATAAGCTATAGATAGAAATATCTAACTTTTTTCGAACGTCATATCATTCGGACTTTTTCTGCTTCTTTAATTAATTCGTATTAAAATGTAAGCCAACTATGGAATGGATGGAAATTATTGCCAGAATTTTTAAGAAATCGCTAAACAATTTAGCAAGCTTATTGAAAATTTGAAAATTACTGAAAAAAAATAGCTTGGTCAGTTGTCTGCTGAGGCACTAACAATGTAACCTTTCTCAAATATTTTAGGTAACGTGTATTTTTATTGTTAAACGAGACTTTATCAGAGCGTAGTACTGTATGTAATTTGAGAATTATTTATTCATGCGCTGTGCAGACCGTTGTACATATCACATGGCAGTATCAGCAATTACGCTTTCGAAGTACTTATTCTCCGATGGGATTAAAAAATTAATAGAGTGTATTCATGTAATACAGTCATTTTTAAATGAACCTTTTTATTGCCCACATTGTCAACATTTTCAGTAGCTTTATTTTCCACAGACATTAACAAAATAGCAGTAATTGCTGTATCCATGTAGTAGTCACTTTTGATGTTTCTAGTGTTGTGTATAACTATTAAGCCATACTAACGTCTAATGTATTACTTCTAATTTAGAGCAAGGAACTAATTTAACAACACGTACTTTTATCAAGGTTTCCGTAAACTGTTAGCTTAATCTCTTGTACTTACTATTTACAATTCAGTCAGATTTTCGTAGGAAGGTCTAAAAGATTTACAAAACCAAAATTCATAAAAATTCATTATTTCAGATCGAACCAACATTTAAGTACTGAGGAGGAATATTCGTGGATTTATAATGTACCTTCATTTGAAATAAAATTCTTAAATAAGCACGTGTCTATTGGTATAAAGGGGAAGTTTAAACGGTCATTTGGTTACGTATTTTTTCCCTTAACAGGAATACCATAAACTCAACGTTTGGCGTTTTGCCCATTTCTTCGTGAGGGTTCCGTTTTCATGGTCGATGATGAAATGGGGTTTCAAGGCAAGTGAATTATTTATTGGAAGGTCAGGAGTGTCGGATACGAAAAGCACGTCAGCTCCAACATTAGGTTGAATTGACAGTCACCCTCGATATTTCCACGAGGGTGCTACGCAGTGAAAGAGTCCAACATAGATTTAGACGTTAACATGTCCCTCGAACCAGTAAAAAAAATTCCACGAACAAATAGGTATAGGCCTCGTCGGTACCATAAAAGAATTCTTAACAAAGTTGTCTTTGAAATTAACATCATTAACAATATCACATAATAATGAATTAAGCCCAATGGATTTAACGAGGCATCTCATCGGCCTTAAATTTTCAATATTAAAAATATCTTGTTCATGTACGTTCATGATATTAATTCGGTTTATTTGGTAGTTTTTTTAATTGTTCAATGAATACAAATGACTATGTTTCTCTTGTCAACCCTGGGGGTTCCATTTTCACGGACGTCGGGGAAATGGGTTTTCGGGGCAAGGGAATGATTTATTATAAGGTCAGGAAAGACCTTAAGGTAAGGTACGTCGCCCTTACGTCATGGGGGAATACGTATCGCCTCATTATTCCTAAATGCGTGTCGAAGACCAGGTGAGCCTGGCTCGACCCCATATATTTTCACCTCGGCCTTTTAACACACTTTCGGGGCGCAAATTTAGGGAAAAACATGGAAACAAATATTATCTCTGTCAACAATTTCATTCCGCGTTTCCGTAGAATCGTTTAGAGTAAGCTTGCTCGTTTATCTTATGCACCGAGGGCGCACTTTTGCGCCAACCTTTTACAGTAACCCACTTTTACGATTGTCATCGACTGTCCTTTCTTTGGGACCACAAAGGACCTCGATGTGCAAGAGCCTTGTGTTACCTGTGTGCCTTGTGTACTCTTGTACCTCATTCACCCACACCTTTGCCCTCTGGCCAATCACTCGCCACGCTTGATTCTATCGTCCTGAAATCGACGAATTATTGAAGCTACCTGTTCGTTTGGATTCCAGGTGCAGGGTTACCTCGTTTGCTCCCTCGAGGAACGGATGTATTGTAGTTTTAATGGTCTAAGGGATGACGGGAATTATTTCCCTCTACCCAGGTGCGAGCTTTGTCCAGAAATGACGTTTCATCGCTCCTCGAGGAAATTGTTACGTGAAAATCGTTAAATCGCAATCGAAGGACATTTCGCCATTTTATTGCACATGGCCACCTGTCAATAATACAGATTAAACATTTGATCACGCTTGAAACCGTTAAACCAGAGATGGGTCGTGTTGCGTGAAATCGGTCTCGCCGAAATTCATTACAGGACGAATTGAATAACCGATACCGTGCTTAGTAGATTATTCATCTGCCAGGAACGGGGTGTTTGATAAATCTACAAGAGCTTGGCTTCGTTCAAACAAACTGTATTTGTGGCGAATTAATAATGCAGTGGAATCGTTGATGCACTTTGTAGGGAAATGTAGGCATTTGTCTCGAAACATTGCCGACTCTTTTAATAGAATTAAATTGATATGAGGCTTCTATTATTTTCATGGTTTGCATAATATTTGTAAGAAATGCAATCTGATGCCGCTTCCTTACATGTTTCATTCGGCCTTACTTCATTATAATGGAGTAAACAGGTATATATTACGTATGTAAAGTACGGTCACGGTGCAGGGAATGGTGACCTTAAAGGTCTCCTACGTCGTCGTATTACAGTAAGTGGAGACCTTAAACCGAATACATATTTTCAATGGCACGGTCCATAAAAATATTGATAATTGCGAGAAGAGAACCGTTGACCCCCTTCCGGTAATTATTAACGATGCGTCATATACGAAGTGTACGCGTCTTCTACGGACGAGTGGTCGGCGTAATGTTAAAAATCGAGGCTGCGTTATATTTTTAATCTTCTATTCCTTCATGTTCACGCGATGACCCAAGGAACGAGAATAATATTTCCGGGGAGGTGCGTCCCTTTGTCCTTCTGGAATATCTCGAGGCTCTCGTGAAGGAAGTGTACAAGAAAATCCATTTACTTTTATTACCCAGGTGAGGTCATTGAATGTGTCCATTCCTGTCCCCTTCCGCGACGTGGTGTCATCCTCTTGCCGACTCCATTAATTTCAACTTGATTTACTTCAGCGAGATATTTGTCAATTAATAAAGCCAATTAATTGCGTCACCTCGTTCTCCGTTTTAGCTCCGTTTTTACCCGCGGACTAACGGACAGTTGATTCATTCAATTTATTTTCAGTCTACAAAAAGCCTCCCGAAGTAATGGAAAGAATTCGCTTCCTAGGTCGACCGATACGTTCTCGAGGACGTTCCGCCTCGCCGGCTATGTCGGACGTCGTCCTGGACGGGCTCGACTCGGTTCAAGGACCTTTCTTCTTCGTTTTCACACGAATGACCAGCTCCGTCGGAAACGACAATCAGAAAACCCGACAGAGTTTCACCCAAGCATATGCGTGAATTTTCGCCATTTCTCTGAATATCAAGATTGAAATATTCAAGTAAGAGATTCTTAATTAAAGAAAGGTAAATAAAAATCTATAGCTACATCGAATATCCATTTTTATTGCCCGCCAAACATTTCGATCTAACGGAGACGGCTTTCTTTCGGGACGGTTCCAAGGGAATGTCCTCAAGGTCGTTTTATCTCGCCGGTAGTCCCGGACATCGTCCTCGGGGTTAGCGCCGGTTCAAAAGCCTTTCCATCTCGCGTGCGTCCGCCATTCGTGCCCGACAAGGATCGTGGATTCCGTAGATCGGGGGTTGGCGCGATCGGATCTCCTTGAAATGCCCTTGAGGTGTCGTTAACCACGCAGTAGTCATAGCGACCCTCGCTGGACAACATTGCGCTCGCCAGCCAATGGCGACCCTGCTCGCGGCCGCGCCAGCCAATGGGAGCGCGCCCTCGCTACGGCCAGCCAATCAGCGGCCGGCGTTGGCAACGTTGCGCAACGCCGATCGAAGCCAATGGTCTTCGGGCTTTCGGGCCGCGAGGGAAACTTCGTTTGAACGCGCACTGTTCGAACGACCCTCGGCCGCGACGCTGCTCGTCGTCTTTTGGATTTTTGCGACCGCGCTCCTGCACAAAGGCCATCTTGCCGCTTTATGGTGGTTCCTCGAGGATTCTAGAATTTCCAATATTAGAATTCAAGTTTCGATCGAGGTGCGTCGAACTCACTCGTGAAAATGGAGTCCTGTGGGATGAGTGTTATCAAGTATCTACTCTTCATCTTCAACTTGATCTTTGCGGTTAGTGTCGTTGTCTCTTGGTTTCATGGGATTTTCTCGTTTCGGAAATATCCCCATATTACTAAATCTTTAAGTTTTGCAACGTAAAGTCATATAAATATAATAAGTGAGAACAAGAAGTTGCAGAGTTGAGAAATTCCTTTTGTATTTTCCTGTAATTTTTTTATACGGTGACTTTCCTTTGATTTAGTTAATTCGAGTATTGTATTATTATTATTATTATTATTATTAATAACCAATGTTTTCTAAGATCAGTTTTATTCTCAATTAAATGTCTTCCTCTTGATACCGGATTTTTATAATCCACGTAGTAATAAAATATGTATTTCGTCTGAAATTTCGTGATGATAGTTTGGGTATAAAGTTATAGAGAAAGGTGGAATGATAATTATTTTTGAAATGATTTCAGTTATCGGGAATTGGAATCATAGTAGCTGGTGCTCTGGTTCTGGCGGATGTTGGTGCTTTCAGTCACTTTTTGGAGAGCAGGGTAATCGCTCCTCCGATAGTCCTAATCGTTGCAGGCTCCATAGTCTTCCTCGTCGCCTTCCTCGGCTGCTATGGAGCCATTAAGGAGCACTACAACATGCTCATAGCCGTAAGTTCACCTTCTGAACATGTTTACATTTGTACCATGAAATGCTGGACGTTTGCTGATCGATTGTCCCAACCTTGGCCAACTTATTGTATTGCCATCGAGCGTCAACAAACCTGGAAAGCTGGACTGGGCAATGTTTTGTTTGCCATTTAGTGGGAATTACTGTTCCCATTTTCTAGAAAATTGATACGCCGTCCTTCACCTCCTTCTTTATACGTTCTTGCCTGCCCTGTGAACGCGATAATCCTGAGAGATTGTGCACGAATTTATTCACGGTATTAATTATACTTTTAAGTATTGTAGTACGTTTGTGTAATTATTTATTCCTTCTAGTTCGCCGTAGCTTTGCTCATTATCTTTGTGATCGAGCTGGCGGTGGGAATAGCGGCAGCCGTGTTCAAGAACGACTTCAGCATGGTCATGAAAGACTCCTTGAAGATGTCCATGAAGAATTATACCCAAGCCGACCAGATGGCTTGGGATAACGTGCAGACTAAAGTAGGACTCTTCCTTCTTCGGACAGATGTTGTAAGAATTGCGTTAAAAATATGTTTAATTTTTATTTCGCACAGCTGGAGTGTTGCGGCGTGGAGTCCTGGAAGGATTGGATCGAAGCAGGCGTGATCGATTCCCGACGTCTTCCTAACTCCTGTTGCAAGGACCTGCCCCAAGGACAATGGTGCTCCGGCGCCAGTGTGAACGAAAAAGGATGCTTCGAGAAATTGGAAATGCGTGTGCAGGACGGTGCGAAGGTTCTGATAGGCGTCGGGATTGGCATAGCGTTTGTGGAGGTTCGTGCAACTACATTCTTGGATTCACATTAATAATTCCATGTCCCTTTGTCTTTTAAACACCTACGTCTATGCTTTGAGAAATAGAAGAAACGATTCTCAGTGGTTCATTTCTCATTCTGGTCATTCTGACCATTGCAAATTTAAACAGTCATGTATATAGTTCTTAGAAAAAGTTACACACTTGATTTGTATTATTATAACGATTTGTTATCAGGCACAGAATATTTTCTGGCATTAATCATAATCGAAAGGGAGGAATAAATGATCAGATATTGTCCACTAGTCTATAGATCATTTTTCTATGATAAGGGCTTTCTTTCCTCGGTTCGCTTAAATCATTTGTGCACGATACTTTTCATTACGTTTCTGAATGTTAACCGAGTTTGCCCGCAATCAAATATGCATGCTCACCGAGAGTGCTATAAACGGCCGTAGGATTATCGTTGAAGTCGCCCTGTAATCCTTCATTTTTTTTTCCCTCCACAGGTTGCCGGTATCGTGCTCGCGTGTTGCGTGGCTGCGGCAATAAAGCGGGAGGGTGAGAAGTGAGACGGGTCGGGCTAAATTGCCTTACGTGGTCGATTTAGAAGAGAGAAGCTCGACTTTTGCCGGAAGTGCTCCCGATTGATTTCATGCGAGTTGTTCGCAGAGTCCTCCATTGATTTCTCGCGAATCCCGGTTAGAAGTTCGCTCGTAACTTCTACGTGGTAGTTTATTTCATTTTTACCGACTAACATCATCGCTGGTGTAACACGCGATGACGAAGCTACGTATTTATTTTCCAGTATTATCGCGGGTACACTTTTATTTACCCCGCGTCGCGCGAGTCATGTTTTTAACTCGTTCTTACTAAGTTTTACTCCGTTTACTAAGTTCTTCAACTGTTGTATTTCCTTTTCGTGTTTTCTTTTTATTTATTTCACGAACTTCTCCGATGTGGAGGTTTAAGGACCACAGTTCCCTGTTCGGAGGGTCGGTTAGGTTAAGAATTAGCGTTTAAGCGAGAAACCGTCGACGAGTTCTCTCGTAATGTGTGCACCTTCTTCAAGTGCACATTTAAGTGCGCCGAGAGGACAAGAGGTGCAGGACGTGCAAATACTCTTTGCAGTCCGTGCGCCTCCTGGGGCAAGATAAGATTGCTGGTCCGTCTCAAGCTTCGGACTGTCTTATACATATTTGCCTTTGATTTGGTATTTTTGTTATTTAAATATACTCATCGTGCCTAACTGTCATGTCCGCGATTGCGGGATCGATCGTTTCCTGCGCGCGGTCCATTTGTTCCACTTTGTAAGGGATGTGTGTAAAGTTACCGAATTATTGCTATATCTACGCACAGAGGTAGAGTGATAAGGAAGAGAATTTGCGAGGATCGGTCAAGTAATTAATATTATTGTAAATACATTATTATATTCCTTAATCGTATAAATTGCGCAAAGAGACTCGCCGACATCTGCAATTAATTCGAGGAACACTGTAGTGCAATTGATACCTACACAAGCGAGAAAACAATCCCGCAAAATTTCTAATGCCATTTTACTCGACGCTGTCTCATATTTTGCGCACGGTAGAGCGCATAGTAATTAAATCCTGTATGCAAGAGTAAAGCAACCATTTACCAGTGCGTGGAATGTATCACCAAACGAAATAGAGTTAGGTTGCGACGAAGCGATGTATTATTTCCGAATAAAAAAGAATAGATAGCTTCGTGCGGAGTATCCATTGAAATAAACATTCGTTTGTCGCACTGAACACCATTTTTTATGCCACGTTCGTAGCAAATCGACCTAGATCATTTTTCATGCGACTTGAACCGATCGTTTTTGATAGTCACCTATTCGGTGTCCGAACAAAGCTTCAATATCCTTAATGGGACTTCCCTTGTTAAATCGATTCGTTCGCACCTGACGTTTATAGATAGAATCTCAATACATAGCGCGGCGTGTCACCTGTCCGGTGGAGTAAACACGTCAGGGAAATTCACGATTTGGGGAGAATATTGTCGGCCACGGTTTATCGTTTCACATTGGTAGAAATTTCATCCTTAAAGACTTCTTCGATACTGCGTAATCGCAGGGCCATAAAAAGCATACGAGGAAGACTAGAATAATCCCAATGCAAAAACCGATCACATCGTGTATAGACTCGAGGCATCCCTTCAATTGCAAATACTGTACATTTTGAAAATTGCAAGGTAATTCCGAATTGCATTATGACCCGGGAATATATCCTAATGTTGCATTCCAGTCAGACACGTTGTCCGCTCTGCAGCATCTTAGCTGAAATTCACGCAATATTATTATTATTAATACAATATAAGGCAGTGAATCGATGTTACGGTACTTAATAAATTAAGAGAGATAATGAAATACAATCTAGTTTAATATGTAAAGAAAAAAAAAAAAATTCTCCCCGGCGGGGAATCGAACCCCGGTCTCCCGCGTGACAGGCGGGGATACTGACCACTATACTACCGAGGAATGAATGAATGAACAGGTTTTATTCTATATGTGTTACATCAAATGATACAGTAGGTTGTGTATAATTTTTCCGGCCCAGGAGCCTCACAAATTAACAGAAACAGTAGTCCTTTCGTTCTTAGTATACAATGATAAGAAGATAGGTGTAAGGAAAAATTTTTATAAAAAACCTTACGACATAATGGGTAAAAGGTAGAAGGTAATATAAAACGAATTAACAATTAGTCTACATATATAAATATGTATGTACACAACACTTAAAACTAAAGATGACAATTTTAACTGATTTTTATCATCTTCGTTTACTCCGTTTAAGGGACCAGAAGGGTTGTTTGTGAATATCGATAGTTCTGATATTGGCGTACGGGTGGGTTAGAAGAGAACGTTTAAAAGATTCATTCAGATTATGGATGTGGGAAACCAATAGAGGAACGTTTAGATCCAGGTGAAATGTGTCAATGGGAGTCCTCCTAGGAGTATTTGTGGCTACTCGCAATATCTTATTTTGAGTAATTTGTAGTTTATGTAATAGGTATGGGGCAGCAGTGTGCCATACTTGACAACCATACGTAAGGAGAGGTCTTATAATAGACTTATATAGTATAAGTTTCCAATGTTGACCAAGGGAAGTAGATTTGAGGAGCGGATAGAATTTAGCAAACTTAGTTATTGCCTTACGATTAGCCGCCATTATGTGATCCCGCCAAAACAGCTTAGAATCTATGTATAATCCTAGATACTTAACAGTCTTAGAGAAGGGTATGACAGAGCCACGCAGTTTAATACAGGTTGGGTGAGCCTTTCTTCTAGTAAATATAATAGCTTCCGTTTTGCTATGGTTAGTTCGTATTTTCCAAGTTTCCAGTTCCTTGATAATTTGATGGGCTGCGTTGCGGATACGATTAATAGAGTTTTCAAGGGAAGGCCCAGATGAAAATATGGCTAGGTCATCCGCAAAACCTGCTATCTGCACATTGGTAGGAACTACACTAAAAATACTAGTAGTATATATGTTAAATAAAACGGGCCCCAGAATGGATCCTTGGGGAACTCCTGCTATTATTTTAATTGGGTCAGAGTATTGATTACCAACCCTAATTTTACACTCTCTGTCGCTGAGATATGATCTTAATAATCGTACGATCGAGTAAGGGATTTTATATTCGATTAACTTCATCAGTAAGGCCTCATGCCAAACCGAATCAAACGCTTTTTCGCTATCAAGTAGAACTAAGACGGTACTATTATTAAGTTCAAGCTGAGTTTTTATGTGATCGGTTAAACGAATTAATTGATGTATGGTAGAATGTTTCCGTTTAAATCCAAACTGAGGGGCAGGGATAATATCTAGCTTTTCGAGATAAGTTTGCAGTCGCCGCAAAACTATTTTTTCAGTAATTTTAGAGAAGGTAGTTAAAAGACTAATTGGCCGATAGCTGGCTGGGTCGGATAGGGACTTCCCCGTCTTGTGGACAGGTATTACAATTGCTTCCTTCCAGGCTTTGGGAAAAATGCCGTTTCGGAGTATCGAGTTTACGATATTAGTCAAGAAAACGAATGCTTTCCGTGAGAGCTGTTTGGTAACAGCGTTTGAAATGGAGTCGTGTCCAGGCGCAACATTCGTTTTAAGAGCTTTAATTATAGTATAGATTTCAGATGGACAAGTAGGTTTTATGTGGTCATTGGTTTGGGAGGGCTTAGAAAACTCTTTGTTTAGTCGACCAGCGACTTGTTGGTTATAGGAGGGATTACCGCGATTGTAGGCCTCGAAATAAACGCTTTCATATTGTTGGGCAAGCGTATTGGCTTTATCAACATCCGTAAATATAGGAGTACTTTGTCTAAGAAGGGTTGGAATGAGATGTCTAGCATTAATATTAAATTTCCTCGCCAACTTCCATAGGGAATTATCGGATATTTTTATAGTGCTCAACTTTCGTTCCCAGCAATTTGTACGCCAAGCAGCAATGGCATGTTTTATTTGAACAATTAATTTATTTATTTGCTTTTTGAGCCACGGTTGTCTAAAATGAATCCAGCGCCTTCGTAGGGCATTTTTTTGCTTAATAAGGTTTAGGATAGGATTCGGAAGAGATTCCTGAATTATTTCATGTTTAATTTTTGGAACAGTAGTTTCAATGGATTTTTGGATGGCTGACGTAAAATTTGAAATCGCATCATCGATGTGCCGCTCTGTATGTAAGCATGGAGCGACGTTTTCGAGATGATAATCTAATGTTTCTCTGAATTCTTTCCATTGAGCTGCTCGGAAGTTATATCTCAATTCGGGGAGTTTATACTGAAAAGAGGCATTTACAGTGCAAACAACTGGGAAATGATCCGAGGATCCTTCAATAAGGGTTCTCGATTCGTGCAACAAGTACCTCCTATTACATAAAAAGAAGTCCAAGGTGGAAGGATTAAAATTTGGATTAACAGGAATATAAGTGGGATTAATAGGAGCGCTAATAGTAATATTCCTTAATATAATTAGGTCACTCAGTGTATCACCCGAAGGATTATTGGTTGAACAGGACCATAAGGAGTGTCGGGCATTGAAGTCCCCACCCAGAATAACAACATGATTAATATCAAACAGGGTGCCAATGGCAATTGGATCAATGTTGTTTTTCGGGGGGTTGTACAAACACCCGATCACAGTTTTACGATTATTAACATTCAAGGTAATAGCCACCAGTTCTATAGGCGAGATGTCAGGCAATTCAAAAGGTTCATAAGAACAGCAATTTTGCACTACTATTGCAACTCCTCCCCCTAGACTAGGGGGACGTCGGTCTTTCCTTATGATGGAATAACCCGGTAGGTATATTTTTGTTTGGGGAGTCAATGCCGTTTCCGTAATTAGTGCGACATTAATTTGATATTTTTGTAGAATATGTAAAAGTTCAATATGGTGTAACTTTAAGCTTCTTATATTGAAGGTTAATATTTTTAAGTTAGCCATTGGGTTGAAATAAGTATGTATACCTTGACATGATACTCAATTTTTCAATTGGAGTATTTACTGATTTGACCAAGGAAAGCATGTTTTTTAAGTCTTCAAGAATACTATAAATATTCAGGGAGATTAAGTCATTATGAACTGCCTGACATTCCTCCATCAGGTCAGCGATGGTTCCTAGTGGGCCAAGGGATTGCGTGAGACTCGAGGTATTTGAGACGGGCCGATGTGTACCGGGATCAGTAAGATGAGTTTCTAAGTTGACTCGTTGGTTGTTACTTCGGGACGGATGCCCAGTCTTCGCAGCAGCGGTAGAAGTGACCGCTGCATAGGTGGGTTGCCAACTCGATGTTAGTTGGGAGTGTTGGGTCTGCCTGTAGATTGTTGTTGGTTGAGTCATCAGGGGTTCCGGATGATCAGGAGCATTTTTATTGGTCCTGGCAGCGGAACGTTTTTCCATTTCCTTTATCCGAAATGGGCACTGTCTGTAACTAGCTACGTGTGCTCCATTGCAGTTCGCACAGTGTAAATTAGTAGCTTCAGGACAATCTTTAATGCCATGTAGGTCACCACAGCGTAAGCACCTTGGCTGTACATGACAAAATTTGCTGATATGTCCGAATGACTGACAGCGGAAGCATTGGGTTAGCTGATCCTTGGCTCTATACTTCTCAATTTTAAAAGTATGGTATAATATGGAATTGATGGCTCGAATCGCTTGCAAGGTCACGTCCGGATGTGTTAATACGAGGAATACAGGCAACTTTCTTTTCCCACCATCAGGGTTCGATTTCATAAATTGTTTAACATTTATTACCTTGATGGTTTTGGCTAATTCATCTTGAATGTCTTTAGGGAGGAATTCCTCCGGCAGTCCATGCAAAATGAACTTACGAGGAAGTTCTTCCTTTTCAGCAAAAGTATAGAACTCATGTTTGTTGTCCTCAAGTAGTCGTAATGTCGTTGCGTGGTCTGCTTTGGATGAGGTATGTATATGAGTTGTACCTCCCTTGTACGTAAGTTTGAATTTGACCTTAAGCTGCTCCTGCAGTTTTTGGAGGAATAATTTGATATTCGGTATTTTACCTTTAACCACAATTGGTGGGAATTTCTGGTGCTTGCTTGGTAATGCATCAGGTTGACTATCTGCAGGTAGATCCCTTAGCGGAGAATAGAAATTAGCGGTTGGAACCGGAGAATTACCAGAATTCTTAGGCGTAGGCTGCTTTGGCTTTGAGGCAGTCTTCTTCATGGTGGATCCTGATTGTTGGGACGCAGTACGACTAGGTCCTGGAGCCACACTCATTTGA